GGTATGCTCTGGTTTTTGTTCATACATGATGTTACGTTATATGAGTTGATGTGAGGATGCATTTGCAGCTCGGTTAAATCATAATTAGTGTTTTATCAAGATAACAAAATATTTTCCCATTGAAGAAGACATATTTTTTCCAATTATTCTTTCATCTACTGTGTTGTGTAGGTTTTTTTTGTTTACGTAAAAAGTCTGCAAAGTCTGTGCGATACTTCTGGAGAATCATGACTTCATGTGACATCACAATGTGACACATCTGCATAACGCACACCTAGCTTGCTAGTCTGGCACCCCCCCTAACAAAGCCACATAATGCAGGAGTCCAATATTTCCTACATGAGCTTGTACTGGCTGACCAATCATAACGGAGTGGGCCAGCTGGCCAATCAGAGCAGACCTGGCTTCATCAGGAGGGCCTTAAAGAGACAGGAGCTCCAACTAAGGGTTTCAGACAGAGACTGAAAAGAGGAGCTGCAGCAATAGACCGTATGAGGCGTGTGATGTTTTCTGAACATTAGAGCAGTTAATGAATGAATACCTGCTTCTGATTGAAATTTGACTTTCTGACCTAACCTGGGTCCACTTTCTATCTCCTCTCTCCTCATCCCTAAAATTGAATCTCTTCTTTCTTGCCTCAGATTGGAATCCGAGGCATTAGATAATTACAGGTATGATACAGCAGAAGAGAGACAAAGCATCAAATGGCACTCACAGCAATCGTACATGTCTTGATGTCTGACATGTATCTCCTCTGTCATCAGAAACCCAGGAGGGAGGACTGGCATCAGTGGACGAGGTGCACTCAGCCAACTGGGTCCAAATCTGAACCTAGACCTTGTTGTTACACGGTAGGTCAGATCATGTGCTTCTGCAGTGTCTGTTTGTCTGCTACTTGGCATGAACTATGGTTTTGAAAGTAAATCTCTTTTAGCTGGCGAGAGAGCGAGAGATCTGTTTTGGAGTATCTGGCAGTCTGGGACGAGAGCCAAAGAACCTTGGCTTTACCTGGGGTGAGTCCAACTGTTTGTTCACTTCAGGTTTTTTTGTTATTTACTTTTGTAGCTGTTCAAATAAATCTAAAGTAATGTTATGATTTTAAACCCTCAGGGACCTGTCCAATCTTCTGATCTGCTGCCTGTGACACTCAAGAGAACCATGGGAAAGACGCTGTTTGAGAAACTAAATTCAAAAGTGTCAGAGAAAACTAAGGTAGGTTTTCTTCAACACATTGTCTTTTTATCGCCACCAGATAGAGAAGTTCACAGACAGCAGTGAAATGAATGAATCATCATTCCTCGGCTCTGAGAGCTTTGGCTTCAGGCATCACTGGTTTGAGACCAACATCGTCCTCCATCACACTAGTGTCAGCCTCAGGGGTTTTCTGAATGGGTGAAGATGACCGCCTCCGAAAAGCTGTCAGTGGCTTAGGTGCATCATGATTCTGTGTCAAGCTTGGTGGGGATGTCACTTAGCAACTCCTGCCTCACACATCTTAACGCTGACAGTGATGAACTTGTGGCAGCTGTTGTGTTACTGTGTTTCAGGTGTGTCAGGGTTATGTAGATGACTGCAGGAACACAGATAACGCCTGGGTGGAAACCACTGTCCTAAACATTCACCTGGACAGAACCAGCCAGGTGATGGTAGATATCAATAACGCGGTGAGAACATTGCTACTTTCTTGCTTTAAAATGTGCTGCAAACATACACTTGCAATATTTGGTTTCTCTGCATTCGGGTGATAATTCTGGACAAAATTCAGCTAATGAATTATAATGATATATAATCAATGATTACTGTGTTTGATCATCTTATTCTTTGTAGGTGGTGAGCGGCCACGGCTCTCCTCAGTGGCAGTTGGTAAGCAGCAAAGCGAAACTCGACTCAAACCAAAAAGACTCTCTGCGGCAGGTTGCTGGGCTGCACAACATCAAGTTTTGATTTTCACTTGGCTGTAGCTGTACATGTGCGTCCTCATCCACAGGTTTTACCTCTGACATAGATTAATTCTGCTGCACTGAAATCAGCTGAGGACGGAAAGGAGAGAGGCTAAGATGCTGTAAAGCCATAATGTATGCATGCATGTATGCGTGCATGCGTGCATGCGTGCATGCGTGCATGCGTGCATGCACACGTGCATGTGTGCATGTGTGCATGTATGTATGTATGTGAGTGTGCTGCCGTGAAAGATTTTTCAACATTTTGCACTGAGGTCATATGACATTAAACTGAATGCCTCACTTACACACTGGGTTGTTCACTTAATGCAGTGATGTGAGTTTACATGTGTACGATAAGAATGTATAGGGTGAACTCGGGTAGTCTGGGACATTGTGGGACACCTATGTTTATTTCCTATGCCAGCAAAATTTTGTCAACACGACTTTTATTATAAGTTAGCAGGGATATCATGTAACTGAAATTACATGATTTCATGGTGGTGGTACCGCAGGAAGGTGTGTGGCAAGTGTCAATCAGAAGTCTGCCCATGGGACAATGACACAAGATTAATGTTAAGGATATAAGCCTGTAATAAATTAGACAATGTTCCTAATTATTTTTGTGGTGTTTCAGTTCTCCCACTTCCTTTAATCTGATTGATAATGTGGGACAGAAGGCTTTCGGTAATCTGGGACAATTATTTAAGTTCTTTAAATGGAAGAGATATGCATTTAAAGACTTCCTGAAGTAAAAAAAAAAGATGACCTAAAGAGATAAATGATCTGCAGTTGAAAGACTGGAGTTAACGGTAAATACAGTCTGTCCCTGTCTGTTTAAACTGATTGTCTGGTTAGCTAACTAGCACATAATCACTTAGCTCTCTTGGACAGAGATGAAGCAATAAGCACAGTAGAGTCTCTGTCCTGTGATCTGCAGCCACTGGTTTCACCAAACATGTGGAGGAGACAGTGTTTGTTCCCTGGGAAAAATAAGATTTTATGTCAAAATTAATTAATGACATTTCTATCAATAATATACAAATTTATGTCAGTTTTGCGTAATGCTTTTTAAAAATTGGTACTATTGAGCTCAGCATTCTACAAGTGTCCCAGAATACAAAGTGACCTGTCCCAGATGATCAAATTCAGGCAGAATTTTCGTTTTTTGGCACAAAGAACACTTAAAGTTGTGCCATGTCTCCCTTTTTCTGGTGTGGTTAGAAAACATCTTAATCTTAATAATCTTCAAAAGAGAAGTCAATGGCTGAATTCATCTTACTATAAATTGTACAGCAGGACTTCGTACTTCTACAACTCCATTCCAGAGGGAATATTGCACTTATTACTTCACTGTGTTTATCTGACAGCAGGTAAAATCATCAGTACGATACAAAACAATACTGCAATAATAACGTTGTACTTGCAAGGTTATATGTCCGTAGGCTAATAATAATAATCCAATAATATGACTTATAAATATATATGTCTATTTTTGATATATTTTGCTGCTAATACTTCTCCACTTTCAGTGCAAGGCTTTCACTTGTATTCAAGTTCCTCTGAGAACTTTATTCTGCACCTCTGTCAAATTGCACCTAATATTCCTCTTGTGTGAGGCGCTGATGTCTGTCACATGTGACCTTTACCTAATCAACCACTCTTGACCTCTGTGATGAATAAAAACCTACCTACAACTTTATCATTTGTCTCCACTGCCTGTTCTCTCGGCCTGTTTTGGACACCTCAGTGTTTTGAACTCATTCATTAGGCATGTTATGCATTATGGGATGCACATGTTTTTTTTTCCAACAGGGGTTTTCTGCTCCTGCCACACACTCAGCCCTACCGTGGTTTCGGAGCAGCCTCTGCAACCTCTGATTGGCTCAGGCAGAGGTGGCCACATGGCGCAGTATCGGTTCCACGCCCTCCACATTCCCCTGTTTGCTCTTGGTTCATGATTCCTGCTCATGTTCCTGCTACAGAAAATCAAAGATCGTCTGCACAGTCTGTCAAACCCGCTCAAGAGAGTATCCAATGGTTGATTGCACAAATTCATGATTTCATATGTTTGAATTAAAAAGATAGAACTATGCACTCATCTCAAAGTAAAAGTCTTTATTATTATCATTATTATTATTGTTGTTATTATTATAATTCATATTATTAATATTAGTATTATTAGTATTATTATCTCCTTGAATCCCCGGAGGCGCAGCTCCGTCGAAAATATACCGAGCCTATTTATAGCCACGTCAGAGATGAGACAAACAAAGAGCACCCACTCTGCTCTTTATTCGCGACACTACAAGCAGCACCATTAAAGCAAAGTGGACACACAAACAGCCAGTGATTTAGATGCATTTATTTATTGTCACCTTCTCTGTTGTTGTTTAGTTGAGTTGCTTATTAGAGCTGCCACACTCATACTTCATTTTTATTCTATTTTAATCAAAGCTTTGTGGCATTTGCCCTCAACTATCAAACCAAATCGACCTCGATTCTCTTGATACAGCTCCTGAAACTGTGGCTGAAACAAAACTGAACTGAGAGTCATTGCTTTAAAAGTGTTTCATGCAAAGAGTTCCAATCAATTATGAAGGACAAAAACCGACAAAATAAAAATAAATAAATTACAATTCATCTTTATTGTCATTTCACTCATACAAATACTAACACGTGAAAACATCATGTTTATAATAAAGTTAACGGTTAAGCTGTTAAATTTAGCCCCGATTACATAAAGTTTTTTTAACTTACCAAGTAGTTTATATGTTCTTGCACTTGTACTAATTTGTACTTTTAAGCAGTAAATCTACGTAGCTATATTCCACCGCAGACTGAAGGACACAACTCTCCTCCTGTGTTATAGTTTGATCAAACAGGAGCGAGCTTATTGCGTGATAACCGGACACTCTCCTCTCCCAGCAGCAGCGTGAGTCCTCTCTCCCTTAGACGATCTTTGAGGACGCTAGGGGGGGTGTCCACAGGTGCTCGGTCCAGAGTGTCCGGAAGTGACGTATGACGCTCACAGGACTGAACCATAGCGGGCTGAACCATTGCGGTGGACAGTAAACAGAGGGAGGGGAGAGTGTCCGGACGCGTGAGAGGGTCCAGCCGGTAAGAGCAGTTTTCTTCTCGTGTGCGGTGACATTAACGCGCTCACAGTCACCGACAGTGTCTCTGGAACAGCTGCGGGTCGGCTCGGGTTGTTTCTCCGGGATGAAGCTGTCAGGGTCTGTGAGCACGAACACGACGATGGGACTGTTTATGAATGGATCCTCTGCAACTAACACAACAAACCTGCACCTCCAGTTTAACTCCGAGTGGAGCTGTTATTGTTTTGATCATTGTTGTTACCATGGTCAGGTTGTGTATTATCATTATTATCTTGTAACTGTGAGGACAGTGGTGTTGAAGAGAGGCTCCAGAAAAAGACTCTTCGTCTGTTTTTAACCAGGAGGAGTAAATTACAGGCTGCTGCAGGAAAGGAGGCGAAATTATACAGAGTGGTGAAGAATTGTTTGCCTTTGCAGATACTCACAATGTACTCTGTGACTCTTGACTACGTGGCTTCATAAAGAAGTAGAGGCAGATCTTGGCTGGGACAGGTTGGCTCTGATTTGAATGTTCTCTGGTGTCCGCTCAGTACAACATTTCTTTTGTACACCCAGTCTGTGCATTCTTAATACAGAAGTACAGGAAGTACACAAGGGTTATAATGTCCAGTTTGATTTCAGTGTGTTGTTTCACATTATTGTCATTATTGTTTAGAGGCATCTCAACCCTATTTATCTCGGTAAGGGTTCAACAAATATTATAAGATAGTAATAATTACTTTATTTGTGTGGATAAGATAAGATAACATAAACTTTATTGATCCCACACCAGGGAAATACACCATTAGAGAGGGAGACAAAAGAGCAATTAATAATACAAAATATAATTTAAAAAAACTAACAAAATAAAATATGAAAACATATATATGTACATGATGAAACCTTTCACTGCAGAGAGAATATTATGGGTAGAGAAAGTAATAGAACAAAGTGCAGTGGCATGGGATATATCCACAGTATTGCACAGCTAGAACAGATATGAATATATATATATACAAGTAGGTATAGTGTACATGTACCAAGTAACATGGATGGTATTGACTAATCTTATGTATATATGATAATAACATTAGTATAGTAGTGGGTGAGTCAAAGGGATATGTAACCCGAGCTGAAGAAAAATAGTGTAATTCATAGTGAGTAATTGTGATATGAAACAGTGCAACATTAAAACTGAGAAACAGCGTCATGTTGCTTTAGTTACCTCTGCATGGTTGTCAAACATCGGTTGAGACGTTACCTTGGACTGTGGGAAATTGTAATGTTTTTTTTCACTGTTATCTCACATTTTATTGACAAAAGAAATCTTAGATCAATACGGTGGAAATGATCTGTGAATCAATAATGAAGAAAGTTTCAGTCCTGATGAAGTCCTGAGTCCCAAACAAGTCATTATCCACTATCCATACAATTAATACAATTTCAACAGATTTACTGTATTGTCATGTGATATAATTATACATACAACATATTAATACTTTTATATGTCTTTGCTTCTTAATGTGTACCTTGTCCTTACTTTACTGCACACCTTTTTATAACATAACATAACTTTTATAACATACATTATGGGGGTTTTGTGATGTCAAGTGTAAAATCAACAGGTTTATCACCTCGTGACTTTAATCCACTTGTTTGTCACAAACTGCAGCCACCCAAGGTCCTTAAAGGTGCAGTGTGTAAGATTTAGGTGAAAGGGATCTACTGGCACAAGTTGAATAATAGATAATCCTAGTGATTTTTTTCCACTAGTGTGTTTCATCTAAACTGTACCAATTATTGTTTTCTTTAAATTGGCCCTTTTTATTCAAATACTTTATCTTTACATCGGGAGTGGGTCCTCTCTACGGAGGCTGCCATGTTCTTTACAGTTGTCCAAACTTGACAAACAAACCACGTTTTAAGTTTGTATGACAACTGAAGGCTACCACAGGTTCTCTCTGTCAGATATCGCACTGATTGAGCCTACGTGATCGCTGTGCAGCAGTGTCCATCTGACACAAATCACAGACCATCATCCATCTGTCTTTTGTGAGGACTCACTGTCACAACAGTTTTATCGCCGGGTCGCTTTTCATCCCTGCACCGCACACTTTTGACAGTCAGCCAGCAGTGGGGAGCGTAACGTGTGATTGGCAGAGGCTGTGCGCTGTCACGGCTGCAGGATTGTGTTCCGCCCTCATTGTACTGAGTGCTATGTTTCCGGTAAGTGTCCACATGTGTCACAGATGGCTTTGCCTCTCTCTTGTAACTGCTGCCTGACACTGTGGTGCAGTTACAGGTCACACTGCAGCTCCAATCAGCCAAATGTTGTCGCCCCCCCACTAACACTGCGTTGAAGGCTACACCTCTCAGGTTTTCTTTGTGTTTTTAACTATGGAACAAAGACACCTAACACCAGGACTAGACATGAGCGACTACACATGTGGGCCAGGGGTGCCTATAAAGCCCTTAAACATAATTTTTATACATATTAATCCAAACTCTGCCACTAACAAAGTATATAACATATATTTGTGAAGGCCCAACTCTTCCTTTAACCAGCTCCTTTTATTGCTTTTTCATTATTACTGAGTTATTGGCTGTTGGCTGAATGAAACATGTCATCTTAATACATGACAGTGGAATTCTTCACTATATTTTTTATGATTGGTTATTTGTAACTGAAAATGATTGGTTCTTGAGTTGCAGCATTCATTTAATATTTTTCTTATTGTCAACAAATCCCATGAAAACACCAAATCCCACATTATATAACAGTGTGTAATATAAGATATCACTCATGCCATGGAGCTTAATTGTTGTCCAGAAATGATTAAATACACAACAGAGAGCTACACTGTTTCACTGGCTGTGTTCTTTCATTATCACAAACATGGCCAGTGCTTATTTTGGCTCAGTCCCACACACATAATCCTTCTGCAGTTAACACTCAAGCACCAAATGTGTATTCTTCCACAGTTGAAAATAGTCCACAACAAATGCACCATTTCCTCCTGCTTGAGTAACGTTTGTTAGAAGCTACAATGTCCGTGTGTGAGAGATTGAAAGTTCACCTATGATTTTGGAAAACGTGGTAGACAAAACAATCTCACCTTAAGGTCCACTTGGTATTTACTCTGGAGCTTTCAATAGTATCACTTGGCCTTCATTATCAAAATCATATTAATTTGTATAATATGGCACCATTATATTATGCAAGTTGGCATAAACAATTTATCCGATTATCATGGTTTTCAAATACCAGTTATTAACCAGTTAAAGGGAGTTTTGTTGAATGCGTAGGGCTCTCTTCTAATTTGTAAAATATTGAAAGGCGGACAACAATTTGTTGACAATAGGAAAAATATAGAAAAACATCAGTTTTATCTGTGAGGTGGTTAAACTCCCAAATTTCATCTTGAAAAAGTGGGTCACTGCAGAAGTGCTGTTGCATAGCAACATGGTGTTTATCCAGGTGTCAAGACTCCGAGCCGTGGAGTTTGCGAGTGGAGCGTCAGTGGAGGCGTGGTGGTCCTGATGCTGCCGTATAGCGACAGGAAGCTGTATTTATGTAATTGACATGTGAGGCGGCAGCAACAGCAGTGGAGCCTTGCAGCTGTTCCGATCTCTCTAATCTCAGCTCCCATGTTTAGGTTCACATTTATGTGGCTTCTTTTCTGTGCAGAAAAATTCAGCTATTTTGATAATCAATGATTGTTGAAGTTAGTTTCTAAGCAAAATATTTCATTTTTCCTTCTCTGGTCTCAACCTCTTACATTTGAGGACACTTTGGGGTTAAGACTGGACAAAAACAGTCTTTTTACATCACTACAGTTGGAAATTCAAATTTTCCTGGACAATAACTAGTATCTATTTTTGCTTTTTTGAAAGCTTATTATTCAAGTGCCTGGTAAAGAAAAAAATCATCTCTTGTGTTGCTAAGGTTGTCTTTGGGTTAAATCACTGACCGTGTACCACAGTGTCACCTTGCCACTGGCGCTATTTAACAAAGGCATAAAAAGAAAACACAAAAGGATAATTTTGAAAAAAGAAATGAAGCTTGCAGCTCA